TCTCACAGCAACCCTCCTGTCTCAGCCTCCCGAGTGCTGGGATTATAGGCATGTGCCACCACCCTGGCTTTTAGTGATAACCTTTTAAGGCTTCTCTTTATCTGTGCTCCAGCTACCTTTGATGAAATCTGCACACCAATCCAACATGAGAACTAGCCAGATAATATGGCATTTGAAGGCCCTTAAGACTGAGGGTTTGCTGAGTGTGGTGGCGCACACCTACAATTCCAACACTTAGGCTGAGGCAGGAGGGTATCTGCTTTTTGGACAAGTAGCTTCCCCAAACTTTGAAGTTTCTCTAAGCTTCCTCAGGTTTAGGGCATCTCTCCTCAGCCGAGATAAAGGGTTAGAATATCCAGATCCAGCACTGGAAATCAACCCAATTTCATTCCTTTAGATGAGGAAGGCAAAAGTCTAGGTACAAGAAGGGATGGAACAAGGCTGAACATATCTATTGTTCCAATGTATTCCTTCCTCCTGTTCTTGTTATAAAAGACCACAACATATCTGGACACAGTGAGATAGGGATTTGAAGCACAAGCCTCTATCTCTTAGTTGGCTTACAATAAATCCTTTTTAAAAAAATGATAGTGCAGTGTGCACCAGCAATTTCCTTGGACATTTCAAAGGATAAGAGACCAAGCTGTACTGTACTCACCGTACTTTCTCCTGCCAGGGCTCTTTGAGAGCAACTGCGGAAGGATCTTCTGGGTCTCGCCTGAAGGCTGTGGGGGTGTGGGCCAGCTGCTCTGAGAGGCGCCGTCTAGCAGGAAGAAAACACATCATGTGCTTGGAGGAGTTACCCCAGAGCCTCATGTCCCTGTCTATGGCAGCATTCTTTGCACTGTTCCTGGATTCTGGGCACAAAAAGATAGGAACCGAGGCTGAGAGAGACTCATGGAAGGAAGCATAATTAGTGGGACCACTGCTAAGCTGGTAGTTTGTCATCATGTTAAGTTGCAGAGTACCCACCCTCCCACTCCTCCAACGCCGCAGTGATTCACAATGGGAATGACCACACAATTTTTGCATTTCCATCAGCTTCTGATTTCTTCTTTTCCTGGATTTTGATGCTTATCAATTTCAGAGCCCACTTTGAGAATCACTGCTGAAATCTGTTGTGGTTTCACTTCTTTGGGATCTTCTTAAAATCTTACTTCTTTCTACAGTAGTTTAAGTAGTATCTCAACCTGTACCTTTACTGCCTCAGGTTTGGTGGTCTCAGGACAAGCACAGAGTAAGGAGAGAAGGGGAAAAGATACTAGCTGGTACAGACGACTGGAACAAAGAGAGAGGCAGTGTCTGAAAGAGGGATGGGAAGTGAAGGAACATGAGTTGGCCATACCGGATGTCCCCTGCTGCAATGAACACAGGTTCCTTGCTCTCCTGGCTGGTGATGCTGTCCACAGAGAACTGGGAGATGTTGTCACAGCTGTTGGTGTGCACTTCAGGGAGCTGGGGACAGCAGGGCAGAGCTGGTCAGCAGTGCTAAGCACAGTCTACCTCTCTCACTACCTGCCTGGTTGCCGTCACCATGAATGTTTCACTTTCCCTGCAAGAACCTCCCCTGGTTCCACACTGCCCCGACCACTGGGACCCCAAGTTGCCTGGGCACTCTTAGCAGCACTATATCTCTAAATGTGGACAACCTGCATTGGAACTGGTTGAGACACCTGCTGAAATGCAGGTTCCCACCACTGGTCTGAATCAGAATTACTGAGAATGAAGTCTGGAAATGGGAATTTTTTTATTTATTTTATTTATTTATTTTTTTTTAATATTTATTTTTATTTATTACATTTATTTATTGTGTGTGTGTGTGTGGCCAGCTCAGCCCACCAGGGGGCGGGGCCGGCTGGCATGTGGTGCTGGAGGATTGAACCGTGGTCCCTGTGCTTTGCCAAGCTTGTTTCAAGTAGGTGCTTTAGACCACTGAGCCATCTCTCCAGCCCCTGGAAATGGGAATTTTTTAACAGGTTCTCCAATACTAAAACTGACAAATCACTGCATGGATCATCACAGAAACCTCAACTTTGAGTTTCAGACTAAGCCCTCTGTGGGCAAGGGTGAATTTTTCTCTGCGGTTTCAGACTGGATTCTTCTGACCATTTCTTCATCCAAGTCACACAATTGAATTTCATTTCTAACTGTACCAGATCTAAGTCCCCATCAAGTTACTCTCTCCATGTACCAAGGTCTTCCTCTTTGACTGCTACTTGTCACCCAATAACTCACTGCCTTGTACACTATGTCTTAACGCTTTTCTTAAATGTCTAACCTTCCAACTAGATGTAAGCTCAAAGAGTTTTTCACAGAATGTGCTACATAGAATCCTGCTCTCGGTCTCTGTGACCACAGAGTAAACTTTCAGCTTCTTCTACAGCAGCAATCTCCTTACAACCTGGCACATGCCAACCTTTGCAGCCTCACTGCTCACTGTGCACTTCAGACACAGGGCCAAATGCCCTTTCAGTTCCTGTCACTGCCAGCTCCCACTTCTTGTCTTGGTACGCATTTCCTTTGCTCACTGCTTCCTATCATCCTCAGCCTCAATTGAGAAGTGACTTCTTCCCAAACCTGGAGTAGGGATAACATCCTGGGGTGTTCCCATGCCCACCCCCCATAACCTCCTATTTCTCCTCCATATTACACCTACCAACTGCTCCTTTCTCCTGTTAGGTCCTAACCTCCTAGTAGGTGGGGCCATATCTTGTTCATTAGCGTAAGCACTCAGGTCTGGCACACAGATGGCCCTTAATGCATACTTCTTTATGAAAGAACATCTGATTCACTACTCTGTTACCATAAGATAACTTTCTTTGTTAAAAATAAAATTATTTGGATTTTCTTTCTTTCTTTTTTTTTGTTCAGGGTCTCACTACATAGCCCACATTAGTAGTGATCCTCCTGATTCCTGCTTCCCAAGTGCTGGGATTACAGGCGCGCACCACCGCGCCTGGACTAAAAATAAAATTATTTGATTTCATAAATGAAATGGCTAGAAACTCCAATGTCTTTGTTTTGCTTTGTTGTCTTTTTTTGAGAAAGGGTTTTGCTATGCAGTTCAAGGCTGGCCTTGAACTCAAATACTCCTCCTGCCTTTGCCTCCTGAGTGCTGGGATTACAGATGTACACAACCATACTCAGCTAGAACAATGTCTTTAAAAGAAAAATGTTTCCTATCATAGGAAATTTGTTGTACTAAAACCATGTTAAGGGGGGCTGGGGAGATGGCTCAGTGGAATAAGCGCTTCCCTGGCAAGCGCAAGGGTCTGAGTTCAATCCCCGGTTCCGGGAAAAAAAAATAAAAAAATAAAACCATGTTAAGTTACGGTACCTTATTTAATACTTTCAGATAATATGAATAAATTCAGTCCTATCTTAAATACAGTCCTATCTTAAATACAGAACCAATCTCTTTCTGAGAATAAACTGACAAATTGGCTACTGTTCACATAGGAAATTAATTTACAATTTAGAAACTAGTATTTTGAGCATCCACAAGAAAGATTTCTATAACAGAGATTCAATAAATATTTTCAATGAACTTCCCCTATTTCCCTGGTTCTAGAAGTTATTGCTTACATTTAAGTTGAACTCACACAGGGGAACAAGCCCCACCTGAACTCCAGGCCAGAGCTGCTCAAACTCTGCAGTACCCGCTGCTGGCTCACTTGGGCACTCACCTTCTCTTGCCAAGGGTGTGTTACTGAGTCTGGAACTATGAGCACCTGGACATCAGGTCGGGCCCCAATGTTACTACCCTGGAGCCCCTTACCTCCACCTGCAGCTCGCCTATATCGTCCACCGACCAGGCTTCGTCATCGTTGTCATAGTTGGGCACAGTGCTGAAGCTGCCAGCCCGCTGCTCGTGGGTGATGCCACATTCAGGCAGATTCTCCACGGACCGTGTGCTCCGGATTCGGTTCTCAGGGATCCGGGCAGGGACGCTGGTAGTGTCAAAGTTTTCACATTCAAGGACTTCCACATAGATCAGGTAGGGTGCCTGGTGGGGTAGTGAGAACAGCATTTGCAGCTTATCTCTACTACTATCTCCACTTGGTTAATACAGTTCTTCCTGCTGCCCACTCCTAGCTCCAGCCTTCATCCATCAGCCCCTTAATAGAAGGGATACATATTTAGGGCTAGAATTGGTCACGCAATTCCTATACAAAGAATTTGGGGGAGAGAGTGCACCAATTTTCTAGATTTTTCAGGTGGGCTTTAGAATGCACAGACACACACAAAAAATAAAAAAATTTAAAAAAATAAAAAAAGGGGCCAGGGAGATGGCTCAGTAGGATAAGTGCTTGACTGGCAAACTCAGGGATCTGAGTTCAATCCCCAGTTCCGCCAAAAAAAAAAAAAAAAAAAGAATGCACAGACAATGCAGTTGGGCAAACTGTTTCATGTATCAATTACAGTTTGGAAGACAGGCCTAGAAGCCTTTGCTGCCTTGTCCTAAAGACAGGCCAGATGAGGTGGCACATGCCTGTAATCCCAACACTTGGGAGACTAAGGCAGGAGGAATGCCTTGAGTTTGAGGCCAGCCTGGGTTACATAGCGAGTTCAAAGCCAGTCCAAACTACATAGTGAGAACTTGTCTTCAATAAACATACAAATACATATAAAAAAGAGACCCAGGCAACTGCTGTAGACAAAAAGATTGGACCAAACTGGGCACTATCCCAAAGTGGATCAACATTTTCTCTGAAAGAAAAATCTGAACCCTGAGTACTCATTCCTTACAGAAGTGCTGGAGCACAACCACCAAAATGATTATAAAAGGATGGAAAACAATTCTCCCGAGAGACAGCAAGAGGCAAATTAGAAAAGTTTAGGTTTCTCTGATCCAGAAGAGCAAAGCCCAAGGGGGACAGGAAGGCTCTGAGAATCATGGCTATACTGAGGTGAAGTCAGGTAATATACATGCCATAGACGATGATAGGTGCTTGGGGTGTTGGTATGCAACACCCCACAAACCTGGGCAATCACAGGAGCAAAGTGAGGTCAGCAGTAGGGTTTGGGTCACAGCCCACTTACCTTGTCCTTGGAGTTGAGGACAACAGCCTGTGTGTGGGGCACACGGACCACGTGGTGGTCAAAGCCAGCAGTGGGCAGCCAGACGCGGGCAGGGAGCTTATGGTTGAGTAGGGAGAGCTCTGAGATCAGCCGCTGTGTTTTCTGCTCTTTGGTGGGGAGTGTGGCTAGCCGTTTGCCAATTGCCATTAGGGACTTGATGAATTCTCGCTCAGGGGCCAGGCGGACAGGCTAAAGGAGGTTGGGATGAAACAAATGATGGTGAAAAAACTATAGAAAGAAGCTCATACCCCCAGTCACTCCTGGCCCTGTTGGTTAAGAACCCTAAGAAAGGCTAGAGGAACTTTTTTACCATGGTAGGAGATTCTATCCTACCCCTCTGATCTCAAACTGGGCATAGCTAGCATAAAACTCCCAGTCTATTTCTTGAGAACAAGGAGGCCCCAAGTCCAGGTTTCTGGGATGTACTACTCTTAGACTTGTGTTCCTCAAGGACGGTCCCAAGACTTTAGGATAGGCTGGGGAACAATATCTGGAGAGGTCATCTAGAGCCCACAGAGAAGAGCTGCTTACATCTGAAGAATAAAGTTGTCCCTCTCCTCACATAGGTCCTTGGTCTGGGTCTTGACTAAGGGGCTCTGCCAGGGCCTACAAGGCCTGGAAAAGGTGCTCTAAGTCAGTATTTCCCCTTTCAAAGAATAAAGAACTCTAGCTGAGCATGGGGTGCATACTTGTAATACAAGCACTCAAGAGGTTGAGACAGGAGGATCCTAGTGAGTTTGAGACTAGCCTGGGCTACAAAATGAGCTCGAGACCAGCCTAAACTCATAGCAAGACCCCATCTAAAAAAAAAAAAAAAAAGGAAGAATCACATGTCCAAATGACTTGTTGCTCTCCATGACACTCCACAATCTCGTCCATTCCACAATTTCTTATAAAGAATCAATACACATGCAGTGATGAGGAAATGAGCAAACTTTGCATTAATGAGGAACAACCAATAATCACTGGGCAAAGAAAAAGCAGATGGAGGAAGGGAGGCGGGGGTAGGGAGATGGGGAAAGCAATAGCTCCTTTTAGCTCTTGATCAGGGCCCCAAAGCCTATCTCTCATGTTTCCTCCCTGGGCCCTCCTCTTCCCTACCTCTCAGTGACTAAGCTCCTCATAAGCGTGCTCTACTCTGTGCTTGGCTTCTCATGGCAGGCCCTTCAGTCATTCCCGGAAAAGGTAGTTATTTTGGATGCAGAGTAAGATGTGTGGAAAAAGATGGACTCAACTAGGCAGAAAGAAGGGCTCTGTTCCCACTTTCTTCCACCAGAAGGGGCATTTTACCAAAACAGCCACCTCACTCTCTACTCCCATTCTCCTCAGCTAGATAAGAACGTTACCTCCTTTTTCAGGAATAGCATTTCCTTCAGGCTTTTCTTTCCCTTTCTGAGTGTGTCGTGCTTACTTTCCTGATTGAGAATTTCTACCCTCACTGCCTCACACTGCAAAGTAAGCATCTTCTGAGACTAGGAGCAGCAGGTCCACCTGTGCATGTGTGACAGAGCAGAGGACAGCTCAGCTCTCAGCTCTACCGCACTGTGGGAGGAGGTGGGCTGTCTTGGCGTAGTACACAGTAATGAAACAGAACAGGTCAGGAATGCTTTAGGGAAAGAGGTAAGGAAAGGATGACAATAGAATTGACTCTCTATGGTCCCTAGAAATATCCTGGCAGCCAAACAGAGAAAGAAAAGAGGAAATCTGAAGTCTCCATCCTGATCCCCTAACCTATTCACTCAGTGGCAAGTGGTCACCTTTCCAATGATGTTCCACCCCAATTAATTCATAGTCTTACTAGAAAAAGCAGAATTCCTTCCTATCCTGTTATGTTAAGAGTATGTTGGAAATGTGACCCCAGGCCTCCAGAGAGGCTCTGCTATATAGGAGGAGACAGGAATAATGATTTAAAGGGGATTAGCACAGAACATAGAAAACTGATTGGGTAGACCAAAAAAAAAAAAAAAAAAAAAAAAAGGAAAACAAAAAAAATCAGCCAAACTCCCAGAGGGTCCAGCATTTCCTCTCACGTCTTTGCCCAGCAACAGAGTCCAAGACCCTGTGGGACTAGAGGGTCTGGGATAGTGCAGAGGGAGTAAGAAAGGAGAATGGGATTAAGGAACATCCTTGGAAATGAGCTGGGAAAAAGGAAGAACTCAGACCTAGAAGAAACGGGGTTGGAGTTAAAAGATAACCAGTAGTGGGGAGGTAAAACTTTCCTTCAGACCAAGTCCTATTTGCAATTGATTGGCTCACCAGCAAAGGGCCTTGCATTGAGAAGACTCAACATACATTTGAAGGTCTGATGGCAAAAGCCATAGGGAAAGGGCTCTGGGTGGGAGATTTGGGATCCTGGAGGTTTCTGCCAAACAGTTCTTGGCTCTAAACCAGGCGTAAATTCTCTCTCTCTCCCAGCTGTTTCCTCCAGAGCCCCAAGAACTGGGAGCTAAGAAGCGTGGTACCCCAGTTGTCTCTGAGAGATCAACTAAGCTCATCCCAGCTTGAGCTCAGGGCCCAGGCAGCAAAGGTCAGAGGGGCTCCTTCAGGTCTGGGTGCTCTGGGAGACCTGAGAGGGAGAAGGTGACTACTGGTAATTAAAGGGGCCTTTGAACTCTACCCTTGGCCTGGGTGCTCAGAAGACCTGGGACGGAGAGGAAATGCGGCCATGGGGGGAGCCTGCCACCCAGTCCCAGCCTGGCCCCACTTACGGAACTGAATGAATTATCAATACTCTCGGTGCTGGAGGAGAGCTCCTGGGAAAGGGCCAGAGGGTGAGGGGAGGAAGAGGGGGCAGGGAGGAAAAGGAGAGAGACAAAGGCAAAGAATTTAGCTCCACCTTGGATCATAACTGCTTTTGTGCAGCTCTGTCTTTGTGCTTTAATGAAGGAAAGCCAACCCAGAAACACCACTTGCCCAGATTCTAGACACTTGCAGGTGATGCTGGAAGGCCAGCCCCGACTAGGGTCAGAAGGGCTAAAGAAACAAAGAAGTCTTTTTCTTTGCTTTTTGCCTGCCTGGATAAATCTTCCTGAAGTAATCTTCCTTTTAAGATAAAATCTAAAGCTGGGTTCCTTGCAGGCAGGAACTGTGCTGCTAAGTTTCTTTGTTCTTTCTTTTCACCTCTTACATGATATCTGTGAGGACCACAAGAGACTAGATTTAATAAACTACATGGCCCACATACTGGAAGTACCAAGTGTGATATTCTTCAAGCTTCTTAGAAACCCCAGGAGCTAAACTTCCAGTGCCAAGCACATATTCTTCCTCTCTAATCAGCCTTATTATCACCTTGGGAAAACTAATCTCAACCTTGAACTTGTATGACAAAGGGTACCCCAGACCCATGAACTTTAAACTTGTGAGCTTGCGCTGGTGGACATCAGGGTACATCAATCAAACCTCAGGCTTCCCAGCAGGCTATTACACATGACATTCAATATACTACAATTTCTTTTTTTTTTTTTTTTTCTTAAACTTAAATTGGGAAGTTCAAGGGGGCCGGGGAGATGGCTCAGTAAAATAAGCGCTTCCCTGGCAAGTGCAAGGGCCTGAGTTCAATCCCTGGTTCTTGCCAAAAAAGAAAGAAAAAAAAAAAAAAAAAAAAAAAAAAAAGGGAAGTTCAATTCTAGCAAAATCCACCTGAGGAGCTGACTATCCAGGGCAGCAGCTACCCTAGTTCTAACCCAGAGGAATATTTATTATAAACATATTTTATATAAACATATATAAATTATTATATATGTTTAAGGAATTATTATCTTAAACATCATTTCATTCCTGTGTCATAGTGGGGTCTATGAACAAAACAGGGCAGTTTGGTGGTAGTACTCATGCACAAGAATATGCTAGATCTTTCCTAAAGGTCTGCCAGGGCAGGGAAGCAGGGGCAGCATGTATACAAATATGTAGGAGGAGAGGTGCTTGACTTCAAGAGGAAAGTCCTTTGTGCTATCAGGACAGGAAGGCAGTGGGCACTGAGCTTCTACTTTGCAACTGATATTTCAAACACTGACTTAATTCACTCACTTAATTCATGGTTAAGTACTATTTTAGCTGAAGGTCCTACAGGTAAGTCTTTTCTTAAACAATCTGGTAAAAAGAGCACAATGGCGGACCGGGGAGACAGCTCAGTAGAATAAGTGCTTGCCTGGCAAGCGCAGGGTCCTGAGTTCAATCCCTGGTTCTGCAAAAAAAAAAAAAAAAAAAAAAAAAAAAGCACACTGGAGGCAAAATCACATGTGGTGTCATTCCCACATCATGACTTTTTTACTTCAGATAGATTTGAGGGGGTTGTTGAATGAGGTATAAGGATGCCAGAGTCTCAGTAGTTCAGTTTCTACCCAGGGCTGGCTGGGGAGGCACAAGTGAAACCTTGGCTCCATGGGCAGTGCTACAGCTAATTCCCTCAGACACATCCCTATGGATGTATGAACAGCCTGGGGAGAAGGGAAGTATATTACGACCTGCAACCCTCCTCCTACTCCCTGGGCTTGAGTCACTTAGACTGAGTCAGCTACAGGGAGCAAAGTAGAGGCCAAGAACTTGACATCACACCCTATCAGGCTGGAAGGCCCACAGGGCTTTCAGTACGATATGGAGCAGATTTCTATGTACAAAGGTTGCAGTCCTTAAAAGACAAAGCTGATCTACTTGGAGTGTCATTATACAGGGCAGGGCATGGGGTAGGAGTGGTACTCGTGCAGTTCACTGTGTCCCTTACTCTATGCCAAAATATTTATCATTTGGTATAGGAGGATTCGTTTTTTCTGTTTTTTTTTTTTTTTTCAGAACCGGAGATTGAACTCAGGCCCTTGCACTTGCCAGGGAAGCACTTATTCTACTGAGCCATCTCCCCGGCCCCTATCATTCGGTTATAAATGGGAAAGAAAAGTGCCTAAGCACGGTTTCCTGAGGTTAACAACTGCTCTGAAGAAAAGGGATTTGGGAGGAATAGTGAGAGATGGACTCCTAGTGATCCTCCTGTTTTCATCCTCTCCAGTGCTGGGATTAAGACTCGGTGGTTGGCTCAGTACACCCAGAGGTGGGGCAGTGCAGCACCGGGATTAAACGTTGGCCCCTGTGCTGGCCTAAGCAGGCGCTTAGTCTGCTGAGCTATCTTGCTGGCCCAGGAAATACCTTTTCAAGAGTCACCAACTAACTGGTTCCCTAGCTAATGGGGATTTCATATCATTCTATCAGTTCCTAGAGAAAAGAATAGCACTTGCCCTTCATCCTTTGTGACTTAGAACAGAACTTGCACACTGTATAAGGTAAGTAACTAGTTGTTGAGTGAAATGAATGTTGCATGACAGGAGAGGAAGAGCCAATTTACTTAGTATTGTGGACAAAGGCCTTGGCAGGGACACATATATCTTCAAAATGCCAAGAACATTTTGAAAGAACCCTATGCTGAAGATGTCAATGCTTAGAAACTGAGTGATACTGATATTTATGTTCTCTCTTTCTTGTTCACATATCCTGAGGAGCCACAGTGGATTCAGGTGTCTCATTCTGCCTGCATCAGATAACCTAGCAAGGCCTAGGGATGTGGTATTTCCTTTCTTTCTTGGATCTAGTGACCCAAGATAAGAAGCCAGGTTGGGAAGAATGGCAGCTGGAAAACTCACCCTAGAGATTTAGGCACTCACTGAATACCAGCCTTTTAGAGGTATTCAGTGTTCTGGAGCAGAATACCTGGAAGGAAGAGGGTTCCAGGACCAGTACAAGGTAAAGAAGCCCTAAGTCCTCTGCATTTCTGGTCCTAAAATGAAGACTAAAAAATGGATATGGAGTACAGACAAACCTGACAATAGGCACTAAGGAATTCACTTCTGGCTGCTCACAATCATACTATTGCAGATCTGACTCCAAGATGAAGCAGCTCTTCATGACCTCAGTTCTACCAGAATTTGGAAGATTCCTTTTGTTCTGCAACAGCCTGCCTTTATGGACTCTGTGCTGTATTGCTAAACTCAAACAGAAGTGAAGTGGTCTACTCTGGTGCAGAGAACAGGCTTTGTGCATGGGTGTGGAAGTATAGATGGTCACAGCATGGGCTGTTCTCCCCCAGGGCTTCTGACAGCTGGGACCTGGGAAAGTAGATGCTGAAAAACAACTAAGCAGCTCAGCTGAATGAGATGGGCACAGGTTATTTATGGGTTCTCATCTGACACTCCCCAATATCAAGGGACCTTGGGCAAGTAACTGAACTTATCTAAACCTCACTTTCCTCACTAGTAAAATGTCTACTACAGATGTTGTGAGAATTAAATGTGAAGTACTTGGTATGATGCTTGCAACATAAATGCTCACTAAACATTAGCCCTTGCAGCTTTACATCATCAAATTATAATAAAATAACACATTTCCAAAGACAGCAGGATGTCTAGTTTTCTCTCTTCTGCTTTTTCCTTCCTAGGTCACCCTGACTTCCTTGTGCTTGAAAGAAATCCCATTGTATCAAAACGTGGGTGGGTTATGCCCCACAGAGACAGATGCCAGGACCATGGCTATGCATATTTTCTACCAGTGCAAATTCCTCATTTTTTTCTCCCTTCTTTTCTAGGCTAGGCTGGCAGTCAGGACAAAAGCCTGGCCAATGGCAAACCACAGAGGACTGGAGCACCATTGTCTGACTAGGATACCAGGTCACTGAACTTGGTTGTTCTCTGTGGAACTTTCTCTGCTATCTATGCAGATGTGGACTGGAAGGTGGTTATACTGCTGAGGACTCATCTCTTCTCTGCTCAGGATCCTTCGTTAGCTACCCCCAACTGCTTCTCAGGGTTCCTTTTTCCCCTCAGCATTAGGTCCTTGAATAGGTACTAGATTTACTCTACCAAGACTGCTTTTCTCTTTCCTTTGTGTCTCTCCCAAATGATATGGGAAAGAGAGCAGCAAGGCATTCTTCCCCAAGAGGAAAGGCAAGCAGGAGAACATTCTACAGATACCTTGTTGACTGGGAAAGATCTTTACCTGAGATGACCAAAATCATGACCTTTAGGGGTAAGGAAGAGGGATTATGAGGAGTGGCTACAATGGAGTTCATGTTTTATTGAACATCATTCCTCCTTGTTCAGCACACACAAATTCGAGGGCCCCATACCTTTCCTTAGGTCAGATCTCAAGCCAGAATGGAGAAGGTCCCAGCCATAGTTCTCAGTAAGAAGGTACTATAGTTAATGGAATAGCAGTGTACCTTAGTAAAAGTACTCTCCACAGGAGTATCAGCCTTGCCATCAGCTATATGACCCAAGGCAAGTCACTTTATCTCACTGGGTCTCTGAGTTCTTCCTCTGTAAAATGAGGCAGTCAGAATACATGAATTCTAAGGTCTGTTTCCATTCTAACATTTCATGCTTTTATCAATGAAATGAAACAGAGGGAAGAACAGAAAGGACAAGGTAAGCCCATATAAAGTAGCCTGTCTCCATGCAGCCCTCTGCCACCTTGCTTTTCTGTCCCTCCCCAAAATTTTACCTCATCCTCATTCTCCACTTTAGGATTGCTAGCTGTCCGTTTCAGGTTGCTGCTGAGACTTATGCTGGCGGTGGCATCTGACTTTGAGCGCTGATGAGTCCTTTTGGAAGGAGACAGCCCTGTGTCAGGGGCTGGGCTCAGGGAAGGCAACTCCCTCTTTCGGTGAGCTGGCTTTAGCTCATCTGAGAGGATCAATTTCCGTAACTTGGTCCCACGGGAGTGTCGCTGAGTGGAAATGTGCATATCTGAAGAGTAGGCCCCAAGCAACAGGGCACACTGAAGGGAAAAGTTAATGCTCTGACGGCAGCGATGGACAATGTAGGGCTTAATGGCATCACCCACATCCTCATCCATGTGGATGTACATGTTAAGTAACTGAGGCAGATAGAAGTCCACATCCTCATTGCGAAAGCAGAACAGCCGGTTGCCGATGTAGGCTTGTACTCCGGGCTCCTTGGAGTTATACAAGTATGAAATGGCCATAGAGATGTCAAATAGTTTTGATTCAAATAGCCTCAGCAGCCAAGACTGTTTTGCTGAGTTGTTCTGCCGCCGTCTCCTCGCTCCTTTGGCTGTGCCTGTGGCCACAGTGGCCCCCATCTCTTCTTCCTCCTCCCTGATCTGGGCAGGTGGATCATCCAGGCAACGGATCTCACTGTCCACACTATCCCCATTGATCAATTCCAGCTGGGTGACTCTGCTAGAGATGGCCACACCTCCATGCAAAAGCTTGACTTTCTCCAGTACCTCCTGGCAGGCCTTCTGGGCCACCTCAGGGTCAATCACTGATAGTTCCCCAGCCCCCTCTGTGATGACACTTAGCAAGGAGCCCCCATTATTCCCTGGTGGGCTAACAGTAGGCTCGGAAGTTGGCTTCAGGGGGGCAGACTCCACTACCGTGTCTCCCATGGCTATAGCCAGACTTTGAGCTTCCACACTGTAGGAGGGAAGGAAGGAGAAAGGAACAGAAAGAGAGACACATACACACTCTGGTTAGTGGTGCCATCTGCAGGTCTTCCTTTGCCACAAAACCTTCCCATGTACCTTCTCTTTCTGTTTTCCTCTCCCAAGAAGCTTTCCCTCACCAACTCCACTTCCAATCACTGCATTACTCTTTATTCCTTCTGCACTTAGTGACTCAGCCTGGCCTTGTTTCCTAGCTTGTTTGTAAAATGTAGCTTTATATGTATTACATTTATCCAGGCTTAAAAGTTTCTTAGGTAAAATGGGAAGCATTTTAAAATTTGGATCTTATTCCTTTGTCCTGATTCTGTCCTTTTGTTCTTCCTATCTCATTTCAACTGCCTGGCATAACATTTTCTTTTCCCCTTTAAACTGTATTTCCTGGGGCAGGAAGATAGCTCAGTAGAATAAGCACTTGCCTGGCAAGCACAAAGTCCTGAGTTCAATCCCTGGTACCAAAAAAAAAAGTTGTATTTCCTTACTCATGTAACACTTCACACATAGGTTACTCATTTCACCTTTATTAGAATCTTGATGTCTTTTTCTAGTTACAAATGCTTTCTTAGCTTCCCTTTTAGACTCAAAACTCCTGGGGAACAAGGGCCAGCAAATATGCCAGATTTTGCCTAGAAGAAAACAGTTCTAAAACAACCTTCATCAACTCTACTAAAACTGTGCCATTTCTCCGGCTGTCTGGTTTTGTGACTTTATACCCTTTCATACAGTGCTGTGGCAGCTGGGGTACATGGAAAGAACTCTGGACTTGGAGACAAATGGGCTGGGGTTCAAATCGCTTGCTCTGTTTTTATGAGGTATACCAACTTATGCAAGTCACATATCTTCTTTCATTTTCTTTTCTTTTCTTTCTTTCTTTTTTTTTTTTTTTGAGACAGGGTCTCACTATACAGTTCAGGCTGGCCTGTGCTCACTTTTGTAGCCCCCAGGCTGGTCTCAAACTCACAAAGATCCTCTTGGCTCAACCTTGCAAGTTCTGGGATTATAAGCGTGCACCACCACACCCAGTGCCAGTGCAGCACGGTGGGCACCCACAGCCAGGGCTGAGATGGTGCACCTGGACATCTGGGGCTGAGACCACACACAGTATGTAGGGCTGGGGATCAAACTCAGGTCCTTGTGCTTGCCAGGTAGGTGCTTATGCCGCTAAGCTATCTCTCTAAGTCACATATCCTCTGAGCTGCAATTGGGAAAAAATACTTCTCATTGTTGTGCATAAGAAATCAATACACAGGAGAAAGCATCTAGTATAGTCCCTGGTACACAGTAGTACTCAATAAATGCTCGCTGAATCCTAACCAGCCAGCAGGGGAGATAGCTCAGCAGTATAAGCGCCTGCCTACCTGGCAAGTGTGAGGCTACGAGTTCAATCCCCAGTACCAAAACTCCCCCACCAAAAAACAAAAACAAAAAAACCTACCAGTTGAATCCTAACCACCTGAAAGATTAGTAAACATGTGTATGTAGGCAGGTGCTTGCAAATATATATAGTATTTTACAAGAGAAGCACATTAGAGTTACATTAGTAGCTTGAGATGCTTCTAAAACATTCATGGCAGCCCTCTCCTACCTGAAACCTGTTTCTCAGTATTATCATATATATACACTCAACTAGAGGGACTATAAGGAGGCAAAAGGAAATCAGTCTGAGACACATGCTTCTATAGTTTCTAAGACCTCTCTGGTGGGAAATTCAGCTAAAGAATACTGTTGACAAAAGCTACCTTGTTTACCAGGCAAAACATAGCACGCAGCAGTAATCCTAGCTACCCAAAAGGCTGAGTCAGGAGACTCATTACATCGAGGCTAGGCTGGGCCACTTACTGAAATACTATTTCAAAGTAAAATAAAAATAGGGATGACGATGCAGCTCAGTCTATAGTATTTGCCTAGTACATGTGCTCAATTTTGATTCAAATAGCCTCAGCAGCCAAGACTGTTTGGCTGAGTTGTTCTGTCCCTGCCTCCTTGCTCCTTTGGCTGTGCCTGTGGGCCCTAAATAAACAAAAAGCCATCATCTAAGAGCAATTTTTACCAAATCCACACCAGGAGAATCAGTGCAAAACAGGAGGAAATTTTGTTAGAATAACCTGGCTCCAGAATCTGGCATCAGTATACTTACCTGGCAGGGGAGATACCATGATCACAGAATTTGGCATTAGCCAAACGGATTTAAGGGGCCTCTTCCCAAAAAGGCAAATAGACTGAGTCTAAAACACAGTTTTTTTTAGGGAGGTAGAGGGGTATGGGGAAGCGAACTCAGATCCTTGTGCTTGCTTGCCAGGCAGGCAACTTGGACCACTGAGCCATCTCACTCATCTTTTTTTTTTTTTTTTTTGAGATAGGGTCTCACTGCATAGTTCAGGCTGCCCTTCCTTGAACTCACTTTATAGCCTAGGCTGGCCTTGAGCTTGCAGCAGTCCTCCTGCCTCAGCTTTCAGAGTGCTGGGATTACAGGTGTGTGCCACCATGCCTGGTGCTCTAAAACATACTTAAAAGCAAGAGAAAGGTAGAGGCATTTGTAAACCTAGGTGCAAGTATTTGTTAAGTATCAGTAACATCATCTTGATCTTGTAACTCTGGGTATCCACACTTTTGAGCAGACAGAAAAAGAGTGATCCATATGTAGATTTTTAGTCATTCTGGGAGATTCTGTTTTCTAAGCTCACCCTTCCAGTGCATCTTATTGCACCTCTGAAATGTTAAATATAAAGGTTACTTTCGGGGCCAGGGAGATGGCTCAGTAGAATAATTGCTTCCCTGGCAAGCGCAAGGGCCTGAGTTCAATCCCTGGTTCTGGAAAAAAAAAAAAAAAAAAGGTTACTTTCATTTGCCCAATATCATATAGTCCAGCTTTCTGCTTCTGAAAGTTACCATTAAATTTTGCAAAAAGACAGAGGGGAACTTTTGTTTTCAGAGATCAACAAAAAAAAAAAAGGGGGCTACTTTAGTTCATCTTTCTCAAAATCTATGAGGTAAGAAGTTTATTTCTGAATTTAATTTTCTCAATGCAATTTGAGCTTGGTATATATGGGTAAAGAGGTGACAACTCTCCACTATGTTCTCTCTTAAAATTAGGCATTGCCCTCTGGAGCAGTAGAACCAGCACGGTTGCCTGTGTGGATCTGTTTCTACTCGTAGCTATGGGTTGCACAGGAATAATAAGAAGGAAGCTTTAATTACTCCCTGCCACACCTTTGTAGGGCCCTCTTACCAGAAGGTCATGTTAATTCAACTAGAACCTCTACCTTTTAGGTTTGCTTAGAGAGATTTACAAGGTAGCCTCAGTTATCCTGCATAATCAACTTTTTCTCAACTCTGTGCTTTGCATATTCTCTTTTTGTCTATTCAAGAGACTTCAAAGTCACCAAAGTACCTTAAAGGGGCTTGGGAATTGAGCTTAGTGGCAGAACACTTGCCTAATATGTATATGACCCTGAGTTCCAAAACAAAACAACTCAAACCAACTAACCAACCAAACACCCCAAATTTTCAAAGTAAGTGAAATTCAGACATTCTCCCCCACACAGTACCTTAGACCTCACTAAGATATTCAGCAGATTCCTAATCACAACTGGATTACTGGCACCAGGAAGGAGGTAAAACTATGTGAACACCATTATTTCTTTCATCCCCTACGCAAAGAACAGCTCCAGGATTCAGATAGGAATCCCACATTACAATATTCAAAGGACTTCTCTGGTGAACAGACTCCTCTATCAGCATCTTCTTCTCCCTAGAGAACCAGATACTATTAAGAGGTGCAGGAAGGTAGGTGTGGTGGCACACAACTGTAATCCCAGCCCTATGGGAGACAGGACTGCAAGTCTGGGCAATTTAGTGATTTAGCAAGACCTTGTCTCAAAATACAATTATACAAAAGTGAGAGATGTAGCTCACCCTGTAGATTCTGGCTTTAATCCCCAGTATGGGGATGGGGAGAGAAAAGAGGAGGAAAGGTATGATCCAGGCATGGTAGTACACATCTATAACCCCAGCACTTGGGAGGCCGAGGTAGGAAGAGTCATTAATTCAAATCCTACCTATGCAATTTAGCAAGACTATCTCAAAAAATAAAAAGACCTGTGACATATAGCTCAGTGTGGAGGCTCAGGTTTCAATCTCTGGTGAAGTGGTGGATACAAGCAGGGTGTGGCAGTGCATGCCTGTAAATCTATGACTTTGCGAAGCGGAGGCAGAATGATCCCAAATTTAAGCCCAGCCTGATCTATTTAGTGACTTAGCAAGACCATGCATTTATTTATTTATTTATTTATTTACTTATTTATGTGGTCTTGCGTTGTTGTTTACTGCAAAGGTTCAATCCCTAACAAAAAAAAAAAGAAAAAGAAAAAAGGTGGAGGAATGCCAGATTTCTCTCCTGTGCAAAACAACCAAAACAAAGAAAACAAAATCACTAGAGCTATGCCTCTTTACTGGCTCACAGACTAGGGGACTGTCTATTTCTGAAACAGGTCATGGAAAGGAATATTGGAGGGATTAGGTCACTATAATTTAGACATGAGAAACAAGAAAAGGATTCTCAAAAATCTAACCTTCCAGAGGTTTAGATTTTTGGTCCTCAAAATCAATTCCTTTTCAAATGCACAGAGAACATATCTTTAATAGCTAACTATTCTAAGGAAAATGAAATAACTAGAATGAAAAAGAACAAATCCTGTACTTGTAGCCTTTCCCCTGATAAGTCAGAAGAATAAGAAAAATATAAATTCAAATTTTTAACATAAAATGACTCCTCACTTGGGAGACTAAGGCAGGAGGATCACTATGAGTTTGAGGCCAAGCATGGGATACAAAGTGAATTCAGGGACATCCTGAACAGCACAGTGGGATCCTATCTCAAAAACAACAACAAAACAACAAAAAAAGTGACTTCTACAGCTCTGAAGAGCAAACAAATGAAGCTCCACATGTCATACTGGGAGCCTAAACTCTCCCTTCAGACAGACTGGAGGAAAGAAAAATGGGTGTAGGGGAAGTGCAGACAGCTGACTGGGCTCTATAGCTCCCATCTGGGGAAAGCAGGGAATTAAGTCTAAGCATCAGGGGTTACTATAGGTCAGGGCAAAATGGTGGGTGTGGATAGAGAGGGTGTACATGTGTGTGTTCTGTGGGATCAAGCAGTTAAGTATATGTCTGCAGAGTATTTTGGAGGGAGAGGATGCTGCTGCTTAACTTTGCTTCCTGCTCCTCATCACCTCAAAAGATTCTAGATCAACAACCTCCTACTGGCTTCCATTAAATGACAGCACAGGATGGTGAAGAGCCTCAAGTCAATTCCCTAACCCAGTTAGTCATCATTCCCTTCTTTAAATCTGTTTCCATGGACTGGATAAATACGGATAGCCTCAGACCAATTCTGATGTTTTTATACATTCCTGCATTTTCATAGAATGACCTTTAAGAGATCATGGTGAGTTTGGCCTGTGGTGCACACCCACAATCCCAGCTATTGGGAAGGCCGTGCTAGAAGAGTAACAAGTTCAAGGCCAGCCCGGACAACTTATTTTCTTTTAAAAAAACAAAGCTAAAAAGAAAGGGTTGGGGATATAGCTCAGTGGCACAGTGCCTGCCTGGCAAGCCTACAGTCCTGGGTTCAATTCCCAGCACACACACACACACACACACACACACAAAGGTCAGGGATGTAGTTCAAGGCTCCATGGGTTCAATCCTTAAGACATGCATTCTCTCTTTTAAAAGATCATCCTCTCACTTCCCACTGTGTATTGGGGTGCTCACCATAGAAACAGCCTCAACCCTTTTAAAAATTTTATTTCTTCCCTCTAAAAAAAAAACTAACAGAAAATTTTATCTCTTCTTGTATACTTTATTTTGTTGGTTTGCTTTTCTGAGACAGTCTCCCTATGTTGGCCAGCCTAGGCACAAAACTTCAATCCTCCTGCCTCAGTCTCCCAAGTTGCTGGGATTTCAGGTATGTGTCACCAGGCCCTGTTTAAAGGACCCTTTAAGATGAATCATGAGAGGTAAAAAAAAAAAAAAAGGGTAAAGGGATACAGCATCTTTATCATACAAAGTGGGTATTAAAATTACATGTGTCAAGCAGAAGAAATAAAAGTGATTTAATTATGTAAACAAGGGTCTGAGTTCAAAGCCCGGTTCCCTCCAAAAAAAAAAAAAAAGGGTAAAGGGATACAGCATCTTTATCATACAAAGTGGGTATTAAAATTACATGTGTCAAGCAGAAGAAATAAAAGTGATTTAATTATGTAAACAAGAGGTATAAACCCTCTTTTAAACAATTAAGGGGCTGGGGAGATAGCTCAGTAGAATAAGCGCTTGCCTGGCAAACACAACGTCCTGAGTTCAATTCCCAGTACCACAAAAAAAAAAAAAAAATTAATGGGCCAAGATATAGAGGCATAAGCATTTTATCTAAGGGTATGGTGATAAGCTTCAGAATAAAACACCAAGATAACTAAAAAAGTTAACTCTGAGGAAACAGGCACAGGGATGAAGCAAGAGACTATAGTATAGTTTTTGTTAGGAGGTCTTGCAGTACTATTGGATTTGTTACCAGGTATATCTTTTTAGCAGTAATGCAAAAACAAAACCCAGGCTACTCTTCAAAAGTGACTCTACACTACTCTCAGCTGCCTGTTCTGCTCTGAGAAGTTCCTCCTCATCCCTTAAGGTCTAATTCAATCATTCCTTAAGAAAGTCTCAACTCATCTTTCCCCTCTGACCTTAACAGTAAAGGTGGAGAGTAACTACTCCATTTTCTGTGTAGAAACTCTGGGCTAAGCAATTAAGCAGTCCCAAGCCCCACTAGGAACTAGGTAAATGCTTACTTAAGGCCCCAGATGGTAGTGGCATCAGGGGAAAGGGCATTCCCAAGCTACAATGGGGCGTGTGATGTGTGAGGAGGTAGTGGTCTCAAATTAGTTAAGTCAATATTGAATATGGCTGAGAATTCTTTATGTGGGTCATGGAGATGGTATAAGCAGATTCCATCTAGCTAGACAGCCCAATCCAGCTCTCAAAAGCCACTGATGAAACAGCGAGATGGCAAAGAAAGCAACCTGTATGCTCACCTTTCTTTGAACCGTTCCGTCTTGTTGCACGTAAGTCCTAAATGCACTTGGACTAGGCTTTCTCTTGAAAGGATCTTCCTAAACCTCTTCCCCAAAATAAATCTCCATTTGTTCTTTTGGATGGTGTTTAGCAAATATGTTTTCATGCAGTGTGGCTCCAGCTGAGGGAAGCAGGGAAATATGATTTCTGGTTCATGGTGCTTTGAAGGAGTGAAGTTTTTCCTATAAAGCAGATTATGAACAGGCTGTACTCTGGTTAAGTCTGAAGAAGAAAAGAAGTGGGATAAGACAGCATAACCTCTTTCAAGAGGTCTAGAGTAAGAAAATGAGTGGAACTTCACATGCCCACTTCACTATCACAGGGCAGCAGAGAGACAGGGCATACAGTAGGGCAAGCAGTTTCCTAAGTCCCAGCTTACTCCAAGTTCTCTTTTCCAGTCAGCTTCCTCAAAGGGCTTTTCCACACTTTCTGCCCATAATCTGGAGTTACAATTCAAGTACAAAGCAACAGCACAGGTGGTGAGCAACTTAATGCACTAGGGCTCCGACGGTGAGCCTTTCAGGGATAACAAACAGCTGGCTACGTCATGCATGTCATAGATTTGCCACCACTGTACTAGGGGAAAAGCAGAGATAAAAGAAGCAGGCCAGGATTTTTTGTTTCAAACTGACTTACACTCATGATTATGAATTAGGAAGACTGAGATGAAGGAAAATTCTCAGAATGTGCAAGGCGTGGTGGTGCATGCCTATAATCCCAGTGCTTGGGAGGCTGAGGCAGGAGGATTGCTGTGAGTTTGAGGCAAGCCTAGTCTACAAGAGCAAACTCAAAGTCAGCCTGTACTACTAGAGAGACCCTGTCTCAAAAAAAAAAAAAAAAAAAAAAGGCAAGTGCAAGGTCCCAAGTTGGATCCCCTACAGAAAACAAAAACAAATGAACAACCCTTCAAGATGACAAAACTATTATTTATAAATGCCTTTTTGTCTGAGAACCCAGAATGTTTTATAAGCAAAACACATTTAATTTTTCTCTCAACCTACATCCTATTAGCCCGTTACTGCACTGATGCCTGAAGAGTGGATCACTTTTTCAAAAAAATCACTCTAGAGGTTATGTGAGGAAATCATATGCTGAGCCCAGGAGTCTCATTCTAAATCTACAAGGTCTTTCCATTGTCTCATGTTCCTTTTCCCAGTTACCCCCCCTACTCCACTGCAGACTGAGGTCTTATGAAATCAACCAAAACTATTCTAGTAAGCCACAGTCAGTAAGCTCATTCCTCTTGGATCTGGACAAGGGTGGGAAGACTCTCTATTCTGTGATCCATTAAACATCAGTCCTAAAATAAATAATCCAAAACAAAATGTCTCACAACCTCATTCAGTTTCGATGCAGGCCTGTTCTTCCCTCCTAGTGGCTGCTTCTGAGTAGTCAACAAAGTGTAATCTGATAGGGATTTCTTCAAAACTTGCTCCATCCTTTAGGAACACTATTCTGTCTAGAAAAGCCTGAGACAGCTAAAGCTCCCCCTACTCCCAACACATTTTTCTTAGTTCAAGGTTTAGCTGATCCTGAAATAAGTGATATGTGGAGACAGTGTGACAGAGAACACAAAAGGACCACAGGGAAAACAACCAAGTGACACAAGGATCAGCAAAATATTTGAAACAAGAGTCAAAGTCGGAAATCTGAAATGGGAAGGAGCATTGTCACATCTCTCTCCTACAGGAACAAACCTCCAGAGGGCGAAGGGATTTCAAAAGGGAAAGAAAAGCTAAAGGACAGCTATCAGAATCATAAAGCACCCCAGGGAAGAAAGATAAGGTCTAAAATCAAAATGAAACGTAAATGGTATTTTGGGGTTGGGAAGACAAGGGCCTGGGATCCCTTGTGGAAAGGAGTATAGGTAATTCTTGCAAGCCAAGAGCAGGGTAGGTGGGTGATGGTGAGGTAATGGAATCAGAAGCAGCAGAGGAAGGGAGGGATACAATCTTTAGCAAAGGAAAATGAGAACTCTGTGCTGAGGTTGCACAGACCTCGGAGGAGTGGGGCAAAATTGGAAAAGGGATGAAGGCGGAGTCCATGGGAAAGGTCTGGGGCAGAAGTACAGTCGACGAGGAAGGGCAAACAAGGATGGACACTGTAAAAGGGGTCTAACGGAGAAAGGGTTCATGCCTTTAAAAAATAGTAATTCGGGACAGTGTCAATAGGGGCGGGGGAAAATCCCCGGGGGTAGAGGGAGGAGCTAAACAGAAGAGGAAGCCAAAAAGCAGAGGAAGACCCCAGGCTTGAGAAGAGAGGGCGGAGGACCCTGGGGTGCAGGTACCCACCGGGAGGGCAGTTTTGTAGTCGAACCCAGGCGGGGAAGGCTGTGAGGGACAGGGAGACCCCCAACTGCGCAAAGGTGACTCACGGAGAAACAGTCGCTTACCTCCGGGGAGCTCCCGCGGAGGAGTGCAGGCGGTCGGAGTCGGACTGCCGACACCGCCGCCTCAGCAGCAGCGACCGCTCCCGGGTTCCATTGGCCGCCTGCGCTTCCCTGACAGCGGCCGCGGCGGCTGCACCAGGCCCCGGCTGCGGGGCTGCCCGCGGCGCTGCCTGATGGGCTTTCACGATGCCTTAGGGTGAACCGGGCCGCGCAACCAGCACCGAAAAAAAAAAAAAAAAAAAAAAAGTCCCCAGCAGATTTCAACGTGTAATTCTTTTAAATCCACGCCTGTCTTCCCGGGATTTGCTTTCCTGCTTCCCCGACGCTCAGAACCCTACCGACCTCGGAGTAATCGAAGGAGTCGGGTGAGCTGCCTGCAACATGCCTGTTCAGAAATAGAAAAGAGGGCGGGGATGAGATATTTAGAAGCTGGGGCGGGAGGAGCGGGTGGAAGGAGGAGCTTACCTGTGGGAGGAGGTGCCAGTACTTGAGAGGCGGGCCGAAGGGGTAGTAGTGTTTCCTAGAGTAAGGAAGCCGAGAGGGAAGTAAAATTTACTGGATAAGTGGCAGGGTATTGCGGACTTCCAGGAGGATATTAACATGCAAATTGTATGTAAATAAACCGATGGAGTTCGCCACCGAGTTACCGTAGTTGCAATCAGTGGCTTTTCCCCCTCCCTTATCCAACACTACTCCCCTAGTCAATCAGATCATGGGACAGATATTTGGGAAGGGGGCAGAAAGAAAAGGTCGGCGAGGAAGACAGTCACACTTACGACCCCTTTCCTACTCAACCTTAAAGACTTTATCAAGATTTTGCCTCTTATCGCGTCGGGAATAGCGCGGTCCAACGGCGTCCATCTTCCGCCGTTAGCGGCCCGACTGGAGACCGCGGTTCTGTCTCCGAGGTCACTCCCTGCTTGGGCAGCTTTTGGCCTCCACCATCCAGACGCCTAGCCCTGCAGGAGGGGCTGGACAGAGCCAGGTCGGGAGGTGAGTGAAATGACCAAGGCTTAAAGAACGTAATCCCTTCTAAACAAAACCGTGTAAGACTGAATAGACACAAACAGGGTCTGCAGTCGTCCTCAGGTGTCGGTTTTGTGCACCTGTTTGTCGGTTAGCACAGTTAAGAGCCCCCTTCTTCCTCAGCATCTCTGTCCCCAGTTCCTTCTGGGTTTCCACTTAATATCCAACGCCAATCACGGGGTGTTAATAGTCTAAGTTGAGGCTAGTTATTTGAACTCAGAAGGGGGATGCCCTCTTTCCACTTACAACCTGGGATAACTGATGTAACTAACCTCTTTTGTGTAAAACATGTAGTATGTAGAAAAGTAGAACAAATATGGTACTTTTTGTGCTACTGGGGATTGAACCCAGGGCCTTCACACTGAGCAACATTCCCAGCCCTTTTTATTTTTTTGAGATGGGGGTCTTGCTTTGCATCCCAGGCTGACTTCAAACTCATGGTGACCCTTCTGTCTTAGCAGAGCTGGGATTACAGGTGTGTCACCATTCTTAGTACAAATGGGGTACCTAATTGCTGAAGGAATATGGCAGTTTGGTTAAGTTGCTGAAGAAGGCCTCACCACTCAGTATAGGGCAAATAGGTAATAGAAATACTGTGAACCAGCCAGGGAGATGGCTCAGTAGAATAAGCAGTTGCCTGGCAAGCGCAAGGGCCTGAGTTCAATCCCGGGTTCCACACACACAAAAAATATATTGTGAGCCAGGTCTTAGAAGAGATACTAGATATTATTGAGCAGAATAAAAAAGAAGATTGAGGCTGGGCGTGGTGGCACATTCCTGTAATCCCAGCACTTGGGAGGCTGAGACAGGAGGATCACTGTGAGTTTGAGGTCAGCCAGAGCTACAAAGTGAGTTCAAGGGCAGCCTGAATTGTATAGTGAGACCCTGTCTCCAAAAAAACCCAAAACAAAACAAAACAAAAGTATAGAGCATCCTGAAGGCCAAACATTTGTGTGTTGAACAGAAATGGGAATTTGCTTAAATCATGAGGACAGGAGATACAGATAAACTAGGCTAAAGCAGAAGTACAGTAATGTAAAAGAGGTCAAAAATGCCAAAGATAGTTTAAATTTGTGACCACAGGTCTGGGGTGGGGAATCAGCAGTCCACCTGTCAGGACCAGCAGCACTTGGTCAGCTTCTAACCAGCTGTCATACACATATCAATAAATGATGGCCCTCACTATGGAAATCAGCATGACGATTCCTCAAAAATCTAAAAATAGAAATTCCATTTGACCCAGCTATACCTCTTCAGCATATCTTCCTCAGTTAAAGTCATCGTATTACAGTGATACATGAATACTCATATTTATAGCAGCACAACTCATAATCTTGGACGTGGCCTATATGGCTCTCAACAGATGAATAAAGAAAATGTGAAATAAATATCACAAATATGCCTCCCATGATGTGATTTACAAGGGAAAGAGTGTAGGATAAGGGAAGAGGAAACGCCACTGATTACAACTATGAGCATTTTTAAAGAAAATGTGAGTTTATCTGTCCATCTTACTACATAGAACGCCTATTAGCTTCATCTCATAGAATTGTGGGATGTTTCCAGATAACATGAGTCTGCTGAGGAACCAAAACATGAGGAAAAAACACCTAGACAAACATAAGACATTACTTTTCCCGTTGTGAATGCAGCATTTGTTTTACATTCTAAGGAGAACTGATTGTTTATTTTTTTATTTTTTATGTATTCAGTCCAGGGTCTACAGGGTCTCACTACATAGATCAGACTCATAGTGATCCTCTTGTGTTTGGCCTCCCAAGCACTGGGATTACAGACATATACAACCACGCCCGGTTTTAATCTCTGGATTAGCATGCCCCAGGGGCAGGGCACGCTGGGGATGAACCCTGGTCCCTGTGCCTGCCTAAGCAGGTGCTTTAGTCTGCAGAGCTAAATGGCCAGCCCAGAAAACTGATTGTCACAGAAATAAACAATAGATTCATTTATCGGAGGCCATAAATTAGACATGTAGAATTTGTCTTTAATAGCAAAAAATTATTTTAGTAAATTTATGTTAAAGCTAAAATGAGAAAAGACAGGGAAAGGTATTGGGAGTAGGGACTAGGAAACTGTCATCAAGGGGGATGAGTTAGGAATAATAGAAAAAGCAGTAGTCACTCCCCCTAAGTCTTAGTCTGGTCTTTCATCTAATAAACCGAAAAGTGCTTGAACTATTGAGGAATTATTTGTTTCATATTACAGTTTAAAACAGGGTGGAGTGCTGGGCATGGTGGTGTATACCTGCAATCCCAGCACTGCTGAGGCTGAGGCAGTAGGATCACTGTAAATTCAAGGCCAGCCTGGTTTACATAGTAAGTTCAAGGCCAGTCTAAACTACATTGTGAGAAGACCCTGTCTCAAAAATAAAAATAAAACCCACAACACTCAAGAAAATCTCAAAATCATTCATTAGTCTGATATCCCAAAGTAAACAGAGACATCTTCAACTAGTCAAGGTGAAGACACTATTTCTCTGGATGTTTTTATCCTATTGCCTGTGGTTTATTTTCCCTTCTGCCTATGACTTCTAGTCTACCTGTATTCTGGCCTAGTCCCTCACTCCTCCCTCATAGATAATGGCAATGGCTGCTGGGCTGCTTCCTTAGACTCCAGTTCTATATCCTCTAATGCAAATGTCATACCTTTAATTTTTACTTTTTGGAAGGTACCAGAAATTGAACTGAGGACTTCATGCTTGCCAAGCAGGTTCTGTACCACTGAGCTACATCTCTAGACCCCAACTTTTTTTTTTTTTTTTAAATGTATCAGTATTATTTTTTTTTTAAATTTTATTTATTTATTTATTTGAGAGAGAGAGAGAGAGAGAGAGAGAGAGAGAGAGAGAGAGAGAGAGAGAG